ACCCACAGCCTAGGCGTGTATAGAGTGCTGTGCCATCAGGCCTGTGTGAGCACAACAAAATCTCCTAACACTGCCTTTCTCAGGTCATCGCCACTTTGCGAGGCAGCTCAGGAGGATGCATTCTTGATGCAGGGGCATTCCTCCTGTGGTCCCATTGTAACAGGGTGGCCCCCAGGAAAGGGGGAAGTTCCAGGTTCCCTGCCCCACCCAAGGGAGGGTGGAGCTGAGCAGGAAGAGGAGAAGCAGAAGAAGAGACTGAGGAAGGAAGGAAGCAGGATGGAGCCAGGAGACCTGGAGGAGGCGCATGGAGCCTAGAGACACGTGAAGAAACTGCGCTTGTCTTTGGGTTGTGGACTGGGTGACACAGACGTGGGTGAGACCCATGGGGAGGTGACAATGGCAGTTTTTATCTTGATGTTGATTTTGCTCTTTTCCTTCCGGGCTTGTCTGGTTATTTCTGACCCTTTGCTGTGGGTCCCCACTGGAAGATGCTTTAGACTTGTGGCAGGCTTTGGGGCCTTGCTCTGGGCCAATCCCATTTGGATGGACTTTTACCCACGAGGGGACGGGTAACTTTGGGTGCTTCACTTAGAAACTAGACTCTTTGCCTTACCTGTATTGTTTTCTAGTTTTATTAAAGTTCCTTCCCATTAAAGTCTCCTATGTTTTGTGTTGATGCGGCGGATGGCAGAACCCATTTAGAATAGGCAGGTTTGCGGGGTTTTTGGGCTGCCTCTCTCCCTGTCCTATAACACCTCTCACACCTCAATGCCCAAGGCCTGGCCATATTCTCTTGTCCAAACAGGCCAGGATAGTTGGGTTAATATGCAGTAGGCTTTCAGGAAATAATCTCTGGAACTGAAAATCCCTCTTGCCAGGGAAATAATCTCCTACCCTAACGTGGAGGAAACACAAACAGATCCATCTCAGTATGCTCCCCCTGGAAAGAGCTCCTTTGGAAGGCTGAGAGGGCCCAACTTCTAACTGGCTGACACACCTGAGGCCACCAGTATTGTGGCAATTTTCCCAGAGAAATCAGGTGGCACTCAAAGGTGGAAGAGATTTATTCATCACACTGGTGGGCTCAGTGGGATAGCTCCCAAAAAAGTCTGAGCCCCGAAGAGCAGGAATGGCAGGGTTTTATAGTTTGTATGAGGAAGCTTGTCACCCCATCTATCATATTTTTTTTATTGTTTGGGACGGTGGTCAAGGTGGCTGCGGTTCATTTGTATTCAAGCAGTACACCCAGCAACTTTCCACCCTAGCAAGCAGCAGACTCCAAGCAGTAGACTTGCTGTTTCAGTAGCTCTCTGCCTCACTTGGGTTGCCACCTGAATGGAGGGGCTAGGCTCAGGGACTCTGGGGATGCTCCCTATTCTGACACTGTCTTACTGTACAAGGAAGAACTCTGGGATTTGAAAGGAACAGTGCAGCCTTTTGTAAAGTTCCAAGCACTTTGAACTGCAGCTTTTCACAAAGCTTCAGAGTCAGAATGATGTTCCAATGACTTTCCCAGAGGAAAGGGCCCTCCCTGCTGGTTACAACTGGATCTGGGAACTCCCTACCCCATGGGCAAGTACTTAACTATAAAAGGCACTCCCTAACCTTGAAAAGCTGTGGAGGTCACAGACAGCTCAGTTTGCATCTCAGATTAACTCAGGACATCACTTCCCCCTAACAAGATGACAGAGCACAAAGCATATACCTGGAGCCATCCTGAGATCAAGCAGTGCCCTTCCCTTCCATCTCTTTATATCTTTAAGATTCTCAGAATAAGACCTAAACTGGTTTCACTGACCTGGGTAACTAAGCCACTGATGAGGAAGGGGACTAATTCCAGTACAGCAACAAGACTTCAAGATATCATTGGGGCTATGGCAGCAGATTCGGTGAGAGGCTCAGAATGTAACAGGGTGGTCCCCAGGAAAGGGGGAGGTTCCCTGCCCCACCCAAGGGAGGGTGGAGCTGAGCAGCAAGAGAAGAAGCTGCAGGAAGAGACAGAGGAAGGAAGCAGGATGGAGCAAAGAGACCTGGAGGAGGGGCATGGAGCCTAGAGACACGTGAAGAAACTGCGCTTGTCTTTTGGTCATGGACTGGGTGACACAGATGTGGGTGAGACCCATGGGGAGGTGACAATGGCAGCTTTTATCTTGATGTTGATTTTGCTCTTTTCCTTCCGGGCTTGTCTGGTTGTTTGTGACCCTTTTCTGTGGGTCCCCACTGGAAGATGTTTTAGACTTGTGGTAGACTTTGGGGCCTTGTTCTGGGCCGATCCCATATGGATGGACTTTTACCCACGAGGGGATGGGTAACTTTGGGTGCTTCATTTAGAAACTAGACTCTTTGCCTTACCTGTATTGTTTCCTAGTTTAATTAAAGTTCCTTCCCATTAAAGTCTCCTATGTTTTGTGTTGATGCGGCGGATGGCAGAACCCATTTAGAATAGGCAGGTTTGCGGGGTTTTTGGGCTGCCCCTCTCCCTGTCCTATAACAAGAAGAGTAGAAGCAAGCCTGGCACCCAGAGACCACCCACCCTGGCCCCTTGCCAGTCATATGTGAGGGATCAGGTGGCCTTCTAAGCAGTGGCCAGTCTCCCCAGCCTGACCCCCCACGTCCCCAAGAGCACATACCTTCACCTCAGGCACCCATAATCACCAACTGTGTAACCTGACTTCTTAAAATGAAGATGTGGGACCAGATTGACTCCAGGGTCCTTCCCACCTTTTTAATTTTCAAAACCACAATTCTACAAAGATAAACTAATACTTAACTGATGTTCCACCCTCCCCCAACCTCTCCCTTCAGTACCTCAGAAGGAGATGGGGTGGGAAGTCACAGGTTCAGAGAGGAAAAAGGCCAGAAACTGGGAGTCCATTATGCTAATTTAATTAGCTCTAATCTGCTGACAGCCCAGAGGAGAAGAAAGAGGCTTTTGTTTAAATTTTACATTTGGCAGGAAATGCCCCTTCTATTCCCACCCCCACTACCACTCCCCTTTGAACTATGAGTCAAAAACTCTTATTTCAGTCCTGGCTCTCAACATTCAGCAATGAATGCAGGCTTGCCTTTCACACTTGTCTGACCAAATTCTGATTTTTCCAGGAAGTAAATTTGCCCCAGATGTTCGTTAATAAATGGAGAGTTTTCATCTCCCTTTATGAACGGGTGTCAGGAATTCACAGACTCCCCAAGGAGCGAGACCTAAAGGGACAAATGCCAGTCGACTTCTCTCCATCAATAAATCAAAGGTTTACCAATCAAGGAAACCACCCCGGGCAGGGAGCCTCACAGCATGCAAAACATGTCATTTTCACTCTTTTGGGACCCTCACAACAATTATCTGATGAGATCATAAGAGATAATAGACAGTTGTGAGGATCCCTTAAGACAGCCTCATTCATTCATTCATTCATCAACCGATGTGTAATGACTACCTGTTGTTCGGTCACAGGAAAGGAAGAAGGATGCACTAGGAGGTGACTGTCCCCACAAACTCCCTGCCAGTGTTGGGGGAAAGGGGTATAGAACAAGCCATCTGAATTTCAAAAACAAAAAAGCCCTGGTTGATAGCAAGGGCTAATTTCCATGTGTAAATCTTCCCACTAAGGCAAATTTTAAGCTGCCAACAATGTTTAACAACTAGCCTGCAAAAATTCCTAAATATGTAAAAACTGGCCCTTGAGAGTCTCCAAACTGGAAGCAAGTTCGCCCAGATCCTAATTGAGTATTCTTTCTGCTTTTCCTCTCTATCTCCATGGGAAAGCTTAAACAGTAACCTTAATGAAAACGACATGAAGGACTGTTAACAAGTGGGATTTCAGACATGGCTTATGATGGAGGCATCTTAAGCTCAGAAACTAGAGGTAGGGATAGAGATGATTGACAGAGTCACTAAACAGAGTCACTGACAGAGTCATTAGACACAGCAGCTCCTGAGGCGCTGCTGACAGCTGTGGAAAGTATCTGCAAGGGCAGACCACAGATGGGGATATGGAGATTGAAGGCCATTAGAAAATCACCTGTCCTATAACAAATTAACTCAATCATACCCTAAAAGTGATAAATTTAACAATAAATAACAATTCTACAAAGTGATAAATTTAACAATAGATAACAATTCCGGAAATCTGCCTCTCCAAAAGAAGACTGTATGGGTACAATTTCTGCACTGCCAAAGCGCATCTCTCCTGAGTGTCTGAGACTATGTAGCCATTTCTTTTCACAATCCTTTTCCCTCTGCAAAACAGCAGCAACAGCTCTCCTCAACTGCCCTTCTGTGTTTGTGCAAGTGACTCCTTTCCTTTCCTTCCTCTTTTCTTAATAAACCTATTAAAATGTAACCTTCACACGCCTGTGTCTGAGCAAACATCTTTGTCTCCTATACGCTGCTGAAAAGGGACCTCTGTTGAAACTTTCCTCAGACCCAAGGACCCTGCTCACTGAATCCCACATCTCATCAAAATGACATCAGTTTATACAACAGCATTTTTCCAAATAACCTTTATGAGTACATATTACCTTTATCATCAGAACATATCTACATTATTAAAATCATTCTTGGGTTTAGTAGAATGTTTTGCAATAACATCTTTATATAATTTGTGTTACTGTCTCCCTTAGGGGTGGGGGTGGGGGAGCAGAAGAGCCAGAGACTAAGAGGGAGTTCCCTTAGAGAGCTCCACTTCCCTTGAAGAATAAAGCAGGTGCACCTAAGTTAAGCATTCACCAGAATCTGGTGCAGTCTTACCTGACGCTATTCATTCCCTTTGGAGTTCAAATTTCAGCAGCAATTGAGAAAATACAACTCCCAATTATGAGTCCAAAATATCTGCTTTGGCCACCAAATGACCTTGCTTCCCAAGTGGCCTGAAGAGGAAGCAGGTGATTTGTTGGAGCCATAAACAACTGCTCCTTCTTATATAAGCGTCAAGGGAGAGGGGTTTCCACCTTCTCCCACATCAGAAGATATTCTGGCCTCTCTGGAATTCAAGGAGTCTTACCTCAGTGCTGGAACAGAGACCAGGCATCAGGACTTCAGCAGACTCCAGAGGCCAGTGCACTTCAGCTGGGTTCCATGGCTTCCAAGCTTCTCCTAAGGGCTGCCAGCTGCAGAGCTCTGCACAACTGGCTCTATCCTGCCTGCAGGGAAAACAAACAACAACAAAACAAAGTTGCCCGCTGAGCACCAGAGGCACATTTGTTAATACATGCTGAAGGGCAAGTAGTCTTGCTCCTCCCACTCCCAGCCTGGTCTCTCCCACCACTTCAGAGCCCCTTCCAGAATGGCAGCCAAACCTGAGGAAATTGTCATAGAAATTCCTATTGTAATGATCCTGACTGATAGAAAGACAGGAGCAGCTGAGATGAAGTGACTTTGATAACTTTAAGTTATCAATTAAAGGCAACCACTTTTTTATATACACACTAATAAACATGCAAAATCAAAATGAAATAGGTGGTCTTGATAACAAGTCTCTGAAAAGTGGTATAAATATAGGCAACAAATTTGGGGCAATATAAGATGTTTACAGACTCCATGCCACTAGTCCACAGAAGCCTTCTCCAAGACTGAGCCCTTGGGGACTCTCAGCCTGAGAAGCAGCAACCGCCCACTGTCAGATGGCAAGCAACCAGGAGATCTCCAGGTCGGATGCTACCTACTGTGTGCCAGTCTCCGGAAATCTACCAGGCACTTTGTTAACTTCGCCTTTTTTACTCCAATTGAATTATATACTTATGTTAGTATAATGTGAATTACCCCAATAAATTCATATTGTGGTTATATGCACTTGGCTTTAATGGTAAGTGAATCTTCTTGTTTAGTGGAACATGATAAAACACCTCCCCAAACATGATGAAGCACCTCCCTCCTTCCCAGGGCTCAAGTTAGCCAACTTCACCCAAACCTGAGGAATTTCAGAATAATGAAGATGAAGCAAAGTAAACGCTACTCCAGCCATTGTATCCTTGTGATATTAATACTTACTTTATGGGTAAAAAGTGCTAAAGTATGAAAACTCTAGTTCCAGCCCCAAGTCATGTTTAGATAAGGCTTATGGAAAACTGACCTCAATCAATAAATACATCAAACTTCTCACAGTCTTCCTTTGAACTAAGTATATTGTCTATACTGTTACAATTGTGACTTGAATTTCAAATTATTTTGGGAACATTTTTAACTGAGCCTAAATCTTCAACCCACATATTATATGGATGGATAGCATGTCTCTAAAGTAATTGTTTTTAACTAGTCTGAAGAAATTTATGTTCAATCGAGAAATTTTAGGAAATACAATTATCAAAAGAAAGAAAAAAGTCATCCATTCCTTCCACAGTGAGATGACACACCCTTCCTGGTTTTCTTTCATCATCCGGCTTTTTACAAAAATGCAATAGTCAGGCATGGTTTAGTACAGACTTCAGCAGCATCATTTTAATGGCTACATAATATGCCTTTATGTGGCTTAACTGAATACCGACAGCCAAGGCTGGACATTTAAGTCATCTCCAACATTTTTGCTAATTATAGATAGTGCTTGAAACTAAATCTTTAAGGAAATCCATGATTATTACCTTAAAACACAGTTTTAGAAGTAAAATTGCTGGGTTAAAGAGCTTCCAAATTCTCAGACCTTTGAACAATTCTGGCAGGCCACCTGCGGGACTACTGTACCATATAAATTCTTCCCAGTGCCTCCCTGGTAGTGCAAGATGCTAAGCACAGCACTTATCCACAGCCTCTGCAGCAGGAGTTTGACCCCCAGCCAGCCAGGGAGCTACCCACATGGTACAGCAGACCTCTCCTATCTCACCCGCTGCTCCCCTCAGCAGTGTATTTCAGTCAGTCTGCCTATTCTGCTCACCATTTTGTCTCTGGTGAATCCTCTAATCCCCCACACCTCTGGCCTATACCCCAGTTCTTGTATGTAAAAATAAATAAATCTTTCAAAAAAAATAAATTCTTCCCAGCAATGGACAAACAACCTCCTCCCTCTAAAACTCCTCTCTTTCACCATTGTCTCCCCATCTGAGTAACATTTCTAGTAGAAATGAGAGTGGAGTTCCAGGACACTGGTTTAGCACTTTGCATGCTTGCCCTCAGTTCAGCCCAGGTCTGAGATAAGACCCACCATGCTGACTCTCCACTAATCACACTGGGAGAGGAAATTCATGAGTAAGAACTGAGAGAAAATCACTGAGGAAAAGAGCTGGGGTAATACACAAGGATGGGGTCCAGGAGGAAAACAAGAGTCATCCACTAAGAGAGGACATGCATCTGATCGACGCTATTAGCACATGAAACTAAAGCTCAAGTGAGACATTTGAAGGCGTGGAAATCTCAGAGATTCAGGACGGAACTGAAGAAACAAAAAAAGCATCAGGTGAGATGGAAAAAAAAAAAAAAAAATCTCTTATGGTATTTGGGCAGTGTGCTACTAATGTCAACAAAACACCAGAAGGCAGTCATTGTGAGGAGAGTGGACCAGGCAAGGAAGAAATCTCTACCTACAAACACAACTGAGCAGGTGGTCACCTGGGAACCTGCCAATAAGGAGCCTTCCCCCACCTACCTAGCCCCAACAGATCTAAGTACTGGGGTGGGGGACACTGAGCTGCTGATGGGCCTGTCTCCTTAACAGGAAGAATCCTCTCTCCCCCATCCCCCTTCTCTCTCTAGCCATCTCTTATATCCCTCCAGGGGATATTACTCCAGGTCAAACCTTCAGTGACAGATGGATAATTCCCCGGGTAATGTGTCTCACAGATTTTGATTTCTGTGACCCTGTGACCTAGGCAGAAACCCTGGAGACGCACGTTTCATACCCCTTCCTAGCTGACCATTCTACTTGCCCCTTCTCCCCATACACTCTGCACTCCAGCCACAGCAATCTGCAGGCTAATGAGGGAATGTCAGGTTCCATTTAGTGCTTTCAAATCCTATGGAAGATAGATGGCAGGCCTCCAATATTACTATGATAAGCAAACCATTCTTTCTGTCTTCCTGCCACCACCCCACACATGCCCACGTTTGGGCCTCCCCTGATCAACCCAGGGTGGTTGAATTAAAAGCAACTCACCTATAAAAAAGGAGCTGGACCAAGACACTCTTTCAAAACTGCAGCCTAGAAAATCAATGATGGTCAGCTGGTGACGAAAGGTAGCTGGGTCACTGTGACAAACGAATGTTAATATCAGAGATAAATCTGTGGGTGCTGCCAAAGGAGAGGCAGCTAATTTGCAGAGAGCACGCAGAGGCTGAGCATTAAGTCAGACAGGAAACAGCACAGGCCCAAAAGGGCAGATGTTTGTCTTCTTCCTAGTGGCTGCAAGCTGAGATATACTCTGAAAACCTTGATTTAGACGGGCTCTAGAACCCAGTGCCTGAAGTCTAGCAGGGCTGTGAGTGAGAATATAACTGTGCTCTCCCATGAACCAGTGCATAACTTGTGGATATTCAAAGGCCTTTTCGTTAACTTTCTTTCAAAGTTTGTGGCTGGACTTTTGATAGATGAGGCAACTTAATGGACAGCCCTGGATTACAGGTATAATTCTACTTTCAGCAACATGAGAAGTAAACAACAAAGGTGTAAAGATTGTAGAATTTCTGATTATAAGATTTTACTATTAAGTGACTTGTACAAACTCCTAACCCCCACTCAGTGTTATACATTCAGCTGATATCAGGGCCCTCTTGCATCTTTCTGCCTTTCAACCACCTATATACTCTTGTGCTTCTTACAGTTTTAATACAGAGTCCATTAGGGCCTCCCTGGTGGTGCAAAGGGTTAAGCACAGAACTGTGAAGCTATCCACAGCCTCTGCAGCATGAGTTCAATCCCCAGTCAGGGAGCTACCCACATGGTGCAGACCTCTCCTACCTCTCCCGTTGCTCCCCTAAGCAGTGCATTTCAGTTAATGCGCCTGTTCTGTTCCCCACTCTGTCTCTGGTGAATCCTCTCACCACCCCCCCACCTCTGACCCTAGTTCTTGTATGAATAAATAAATAAATATTTAAAAAATAGAGTCCATTTAATTAAAACCCCATTGTAATCTGTGCATCTAACCCTTGACCTTCTTGCTATCCCACAATGCCACCGACTTGACATCTAGATTCAGTTTCGCTACTTTGTCCCAAAGCCAAACCAGTCAGTTTTATTTAACTTCTTCCTTGAGTTCAAAGTTTGTTTTCCATTTTATCTCTTCCTGTCCTCACTCCTGCCAGTACCATCCCCCCTTATAGCCCCTGGCAGCTCCAAGGCTAGCCCCCTTTTTCCACCACCTGGTGTCAGATCCAGAAGCATCTTCTAAGGAAGGTAAATGAGAGCCTGCCTGGGTGTCATGCCTCCAGCAAGCCTTTCCTCTAGGTGCATGACATGTGAGGCACTGAACACAGACCAGAATCATGATTTAGAAAGCCCACCAAGAACGAAAGAAATGAGCCAAGAACATACACCCTGAGAATTTCCTGGTCCAGCAGCCTCAGATGATGCTGGTCAACTTAGCATCATCCATGTAGGACTTTTACTGAACTTTTGAGTTTTTTTGAGTCTCGGTTTTAAGTCAAAGAATGTGTTAACCTGCCACAGGTATAGGCCTCAGCACAGGTCCTTAGCTCATGTGAGTGATCTCTACCAGGCACACGGAACATTGAGGGAAAAGAAAACACTGTTAACTCTGGGTCCATTATTCCCCAGTATCTGAATGTGAACGATTGTTTTCATTGTGTTTGGATATGGAAACTAAATTAGCAAAGAGTTCTTTATTGATCCATGTACATAAGACATTTCAGAATCTGGCTCTCTACAAATGTGCTGATTCCGGCAGTCAGAGCAGAAGACACTGAGCCCCAAACACAATAAGAACTTCTGCTAAAATCAGAAAAGTTCCTGGGTTATTTCTGCCCGTCCCTCCCTTCCCAGAGTTTACATTCTTTCTAGAGGGTTCACCAGCGGGTCCAAGGGCCCAGACCCAACATCACAAAGCTCCTGTTCCAGATCGAAAGTTAGTCACAAATGTTTGTAAATTTTTTTATTTAATATTTTTAGCAACCACTAAACGTCAGGTATTTTATACACTAAATTATTCATTTATTCCTCACACAATCCTGGAAAGCAAGGGGCATTTTCTCCTTTTTTCAG